AATATTTTAATATTAAAAATAGTTATAATGAAATTAACATTTCATTATAACTCTAAATCTATAATTATTACCATAATGATTACTATTATTTATGAAATTAATATTTATAATGAAATTAATATTTCATATTAAAAATATTTTGTATAATCTATCATGATATGATAATCATATCTAACATTTATTGAGTTCTGACCATGTGGGAGGCATTGTTCTAAGTCCTTTTTCTGTATTAACTCATTTTATCCTCACAACAACCCTATGTGGTATGTAATATTAATATCTTCATTCCCATTTTGCAAGTGGGACAGAAATTAAGCCGCAGAAAGGATAAGTAACTTGCTCCAGGTGACACATAATGGGTCCTACATTAGTACCTTTATGAATTGAAATGTGGTGACCCCTCTCACTGCCCCCCTTTTTTTTTCTTTCCAAGAGATTCATAGAAGACACATTGTTTATTAAGTTGAGAGACTTGGGAGAAGTTATTACACAGGTGCCCAGTCCACAATAAGCCAGCTGAGTGGGGCGTATACTTGGTAACAACGTAAGCTCCTTTGGAAGACTTCCTGTGGCCACAAGAAATGCAGGAGATGAGTTATTTTCCTTCCCAAAAATCTACTCAAAACCAGTAAGAGTAGGGACACAAGACTTAATAGTCCTGTTATACTTTTTTTTTTCTGTAAATAAAAATTATGTTTCATGGGAAAATAGTTAATATGTGGTATGTCTGCTTATAGGCTGCAGTCAGCTATGTTATAATGAGTCGGTATATGAGAATCTCTAGAAGTTTATATATACATGTGCATGTCACTCTTTCAGTGCATCTTCACAGGTACCATAAATTAAGTTGCCAGTGCTTACAGCTGAGGTCACCCCTAAAGGACAGGTATTTTAAAGAAATTAGTGAAAAATATTTTGCATTTACCTTTATTGTCATAGCAACATTTTTATGGAGCATGTGAGATCATATTCCCTGGGACCAGTCTAATGAGCATCTGAGCCCTGATTTATACTTACTAAACATGTGACTTCTTGAATGTCACTTCTATGATGATATTTCTTCATTTTGAAAATGAAAAGGATGACAATTCCTACTTCAGAGAAGTGTTGTAAGGATTACAAGGGATCACAACCAGCTTCATGGGCCTACAACCTGTGCAGTTGCAAAGAAACCCACGTTAAGATGGACCCACACTTGGTTTAGTGGTCTTTTGTTACTGATTTGATATTATTAATAATTTTTATAAGGCTTCCTACATTTTTATTTTGCACTGGGAACCACAAATTATGTAACCACTTCTAGACAGGCTTGTTTATGAAGTATATAGCCCATGGTGCTTGGCACATAAAATAACCTTCAATATAATATGTCAGCTGTTACTACTTTTGCAAAGGAGCTTTTAGTTTGTTTGATATAGCCCCAAAGTCCTATTTGCCAAACTTTTTCAATCTGCTGTGGGCATTGAAGCTAGTGGTGGGATATATATTATATGTCCTCATGCATTTGGGCCACATTTGATTGGTAAACAATACATTAGTGTCCTCTACCTCATTGATCCCTTACTCTGTGGTTATACATCTCATGGAATGTGGGCTTTGGATGGCTCCTAATTTGGATTAAAGGTACATTTTCCTCTAAATATGAACCACACAGCTTAATAAAGGATATTAGATTTGTTTTTAATTTGTCTGACAGATAATGGCTTTAGCTGATACACTATATCACTGACATTACTCCAGAAAGATACTTAATCTAATCTAATAATTGTTTTTTGCTTTTATTTTGCAGACTGTTTGAATTCTAGAAGGACCAACACCAGATAAATTATGAATGTTGAACAAGATGACCTTACATCCACAGCAGATAATGATAGGTCCTAGGTTTAACAGGGCCCTATTTGACCCCCTGCTTGTGGTGCTGCTGGCTCTTCAACTTCTTGTGGTGGCTGGTCTGGTGCGGGCTCAGACCTGCCCTTCTGTGTGCTCCTGCAGCAACCAGTTCAGCAAGGTGATTTGTGTTCGGAAAAACCTGCGTGAGGTTCCGGATGGCATCTCCACCAACACACGGCTGCTGAACCTCCATGAGAACCAAATCCAGATCATCAAAGTGAACAGTTTCAAGCACTTGAGGCACTTGGAAATCCTACAGTTGAGTAGGAACCATATCAGAACCATTGAAATTGGGGCTTTCAATGGTCTGGCAAACCTCAACACTCTGGAACTCTTTGACAATCGTCTTACTACCATCCCGAATGGAGCTTTTGTATACTTGTCTAAACTGAAGGAGCTCTGGTTGCGAAACAACCCCATTGAAAGCATCCCTTCTTATGCTTTTAACAGAATTCCTTCTTTGCGCCGACTAGACTTAGGGGAATTGAAAAGACTTTCATATATCTCAGAAGGTGCCTTTGAAGGTCTGTCCAACTTGAGGTATTTGAACCTTGCCATGTGCAACCTTCGGGAAATCCCTAACCTCACGCCGCTCATAAAACTAGATGAGCTGGATCTTTCTGGGAATCATTTATCTGCCATCAGGCCTGGCTCTTTCCAGGGTTTGATGCACCTTCAAAAACTGTGGATGATACAATCCCAGATTCAAGTGATTGAACGGAATGCCTTTGACAACCTTCAGTCACTAGTGGAGATCAACCTGGCACACAATAATCTAACATTACTGCCTCATGACCTCTTCACTCCCTTGCATCATCTAGAGCGGATACATTTACATCACAACCCTTGGAACTGTAACTGTGACATACTGTGGCTCAGTTGGTGGATAAAAGACATGGCCCCCTCCAACACAGCTTGTTGTGCCCGGTGTAACACTCCTCCCAATCTAAAGGGGAGGTACATTGGAGAGCTTGACCAGAATTACTTCACATGCTATGCTCCAGTGATTGTGGAGCCCCCTGCAGACCTCAATGTCACTGAAGGCATGGCAGCTGAGCTGAAATGTCGGGCTTCCACATCGCTGACATCTGTATCTTGGATTACTCCAAATGGAACAGTCATGACACATGGGGCATACAAAGTGCGGATAGCTGTGCTCAGTGATGGTACGTTAAATTTCACAAATGTAACCGTGCAAGATACAGGCATGTACACATGTATGGTGAGTAATTCCGTTGGGAATACTACTGCTTCAGCCACCCTGAATGTTACTGCAGCAACCACTACTCCTTTCTCCTACTTTTCAACTGTCACAGTAGAGACTATGGAACCGTCTCAGGATGAGGCACGGACCACAGATAACAATGTGGGTCCCACTCCAGTGGTCGACTGGGAGACCACCAATGTGACCACCTCTCTCACGCCACAGAGCACAAGATCGACAGAGAAAACCTTCACCATCCCAGTGACTGATATAAACAGTGGGATCCCAGGAATTGATGAGGTCATGAAGACTACCAAAATCATCATTGGGTGTTTTGTAGCCATCACACTCATGGCTGCAGTGATGCTGGTCATTTTCTACAAGATGAGGAAGCAGCACCATCGGCAAAACCATCACGCCCCAACAAGGACTGTTGAAATAATTAATGTGGATGATGAGATTACGGGAGATACACCCATGGAAAGCCACCTGCCCATGCCTGCTATCGAGCATGAGCACCTAAATCACTATAACTCATACAAATCTCCCTTCAACCACACAACAACAGTTAACACAATAAATTCAATACACAGTTCAGTGCATGAACCGTTATTGATCCGAATGAACTCTAAAGACAATGTACAAGAGACTCAAATCTAAAACATTTACACAGTTACAAAAAACAAACAATCAAAAAAAAGACAGTTTATTAAAAATGACACAAATGACTGGGCTAAATCTACTGTTTCAAAAAAGTGTCTTTACAAAAAAACAAAAAAGAAAAGAAATTTATTTATTAAAAATTCTATTGTGATCTAAAGCAGACAAAATTATGTGTATTCCTCAGAACCTGTTTTTGCTGCACTTATTCACTATTTTCCCACATCTCGTTCCTCCCTTCCCTGATTGCCATATTTTTCATAGCAGATCTCAATTCCTTAAAGAACTGGTCTAGGAAATTTTGTAAGAATTCTGTTACACTTTGAGATTTTTATGGTGAATTCTAGTGGTGAGATCCAGTCTATTTTGTCTCTCTCTCTCTTTTTTTAATTTTTTTCTTTTTCCCTCATACCCATATGAAGTAATCCAATGGGGAATGCAATATTAGAAATAGATTTTTAAGAGAGAACAAGGAAAAAAATGCAAGATCTTATATTTTTCATGTAATGACCTGTTCTGTATTTATGAGGGAGACCATTCTATGGAAAAGAAAAGTAAGCAAACAACAGATTAATTTGCATATGAGCATCTATAAAACCCATGACTTTTAAACAACTCTAGAACCAGAATTTGTAGTTAAAAAGCTAAAAATAAGATTATAAATAAAATATTGTTGGTTTTTCTGTACCTGGACACAACTCATTTGTAGTATGGCTCAAATGTGAGAAACTTGAAGGTAATTAGATTTTCTACTTTCTAAGAAAGAAAATACTACAGTATTCTTTAGTCACAAAACCAATCTCTACAGGGTCCTGTTTGACTAGTTGACTTGAGTTTTAGATCTATGTTTAAGGATGCTGTGGTATTTTTTCCTTCTCATTAGGCTTATACTTTGTAGAATGCTCAGGTTCAAAAATAATGATTTTGTGAAGTAAATTTAATTCTACTTGAAGGAAAGTTTCAGTATAATTTATTTACTGTCTCCTAAACGTAATTTCACTGGTCAGATGAACTATAACCGCAAAACATGAAAGTATTCTAAATCATCTAGAGCTGAAAAAGAATATTTGGTGATGAGTATTAGCAAATTCAGTTCAATTCAATGATAATTATTAAAGACCTACTGTGTGCAAAATACAGATTTTAGTATCGTGGGTGCACAGTTGACAAGATCTGGTTCCTGCTCTTGCATTACTCCCAATCTATATAAAAATGATTAAAGAAATCATCTCAGTTCATTACTTGTTGCCAGCTCTAATTTTACTGTTAGGTGAAAGGCTGTGAATCAGACCCTTAACGTTCAAAATATTAGATTATTAGATTATTGTTATTATACAAAGCTCTTGGATTTCTGGTTTCTTCCATCTTTTTGGAAGAGGTGATTATCTTTTTCTAAATGCAAACTGCAGAGCTATAAGAAGTGTGGGTTTAGATTTGCTCTGAAGGATGAATACATACCAGGAGAGGGCAATGCTAAATCAGTGGTAATTAATCAATGGTATTTTTTAAGGAGCTGGGGGCATTTTGGCTAAGAGACCATGCACTAGATCCCAAGTAAAAAGGGAACTTTCTGGTTATTGCACCTTGGCATTCTCCTGATATTTTCATATATTATGTATATGACTTCTATCTTTATGTGAAACAAGTGAATATATACAGATCTCATTATTGGCCTTGAAACTTGCTACCTTGGTGGTGAAACAAGGACTGACCAAGCTGAAGAAAACTTCAGCTCCTAATGGCTAAGAAGCTTGGATACTCACACTTCATTCTGCAGGCTGAACCTTACTCCATGGTTTTGTGGTTTCCAGGTGTGAAAAATCAATTATTAATAGCAAAGTAGGTCAGAGAAAATGGGAGAAAAGGACGGGAAATGAAGGAGAGCATGCAAGAGTCTTGCTTCTATTTTTTTGATCACCAATTATCTGGCTTTTTTCTTCCTTATATCTTACCTCCCTTTGTTAGGAACACAATCCACACTTGGTTTCACTGTGAAGACTCAAGAAAAGGGAAAACATATTTTGACTATTGTTTGTCAAGTTATTCAGTATTGAATATACTTAACACATTCCCAACTTGCAGATCACAAAAACACAAACAAGCAACAACAAAAAACACCAACAAATATCTATAACAACAAGCAAGTGCTAGTACAAACAAAAGTGATATAAATCGAGAGGGAAAATGATCCTGCTTTCTCTACTTGGCTTGCATTCACCAAACTCTGTCTTTGCTGACCCTGAAGCTTCTTTCATTTTAAGCTTAGAATTCTTGCAGGTTTAGTCCAAGTATGCAATTACCCTTGGCTGTGAGAGGTGGCTGAGCAGTTAGAAAAATGCTACCAAATAGGATGAAAGGTGAACTTGTACTTAAAAAGTTAGGTTGGAATCTGAAGCATACAATTCAGTCTTCTAGGAGGTTATAGTATAGTACTAATGAATATATTTTGTGAAAAAAATTGATGCAAGGTTTAAATAAACCAGACTTGACTTCTATAATAAATTTAGAAACTCTTTTACCAAAGGTCCTCATTTCAGGTTTTGGGGATAAAGGGTAGAGTGCTATAAATCTATTATGTAAAGAAATTTAAAATGAATTCTAGATGTTTCTGATTAACAGTAAGCCTCTATTTTCCCTGCATAACATATTTGACCCTTGGCCCATCAGAACAGTAGCTGCACTGATGTATTAGAGACCATTACAAACGTGAATTTACTTAGTTTAGCAGGAAGCCTAGATGACTGTTTAAATATTCGCTATACTGTTGTACCAAAATATAATTCTATGTCTACTGCCCCTTGTAGTCTATCCAAAGGCAACTGGGTGGCAGTATTCTGAAATATGCACACCAAAAACACACCATTTACAATTCATCAAGTTAAAGTAACCCAGTGATAATCTGTGTGTGTGTGTGTGTGTGTGTGTATTTGTATTTCCTACTAATAGTATGCATTTTGCTTCCCTAAACATCCAAGATGCTTCAGAAAGAAGATTCTCTAACATCTTTTTCTATTCAGGAATTTTACTCCTCCACATCTGCCATGACCTTAGTCTTGAACACTCTTTTGAAAGTGTACAGATGTATTTGCATTAGCAAAATAATAAAAGGATTTGGTGTAGCTTACACATATAGGCTCTGATAAAGCTTTAATAATTTCCCCTCGTATTTCAAATATTCTGAAATCGTGTATCTTTTTCAAAGACTGAAATAGGTTATTTGCATATGGAAGAGTGATAAAAAAATTTTTTGATAAAGAAAATGTGGCTAGTTCATAATTGCTTTTAGTCCTTATAATCAAAAAATTAAATATTAGGATATTGTTTGAGACCCGTTTACCATGAAATAAAATTCTAAATATAGATGTGCTGGGGGTAAAAATTCTTGACAATGTGAGGGCTGTTTACATGGTGGAAAGAAAAGGAAGAAGGCATATTAAGAATAGCCTTCACTGAAACATAAAAACATATTAAGTAGATGGCGCCAGAGTATCCAATATTTTTAAGGTAAAGATTGATCAAGGTGAAAAACAAAAAACAAAAAACTTCAGTCTCATCTTTTTGGGATAATCTTCAAGATATTTAGATAAAGTAGAAGAGTTAGATGAGTGCTTACAAATGCAATGTGGCACTCTAAAGCAATATAATTTAAAATATTGTGTTCAACTACTTATTTGTGGCTTCAGCTTGTTTTAATAAGAATCTTGAACATAATGATATCATTAACTATCCAGACATAGCATGTGAATGCTGGGTAAGCAGTCATACTCTGCAAAAAGCTGTCTTTCTCTTAAATATAGTAGCACAGAATCAAATATCTTGTAAAACATATCCTGAAATTACATATGCACCATTATTTCTGATTAGAATGTGATTCTGTACAATAGCTACTTCTGATAAAAATGAGTCTAAACAGTTACCTTCCAAAAATCAAGGTCCCTGCAATTCTTTCTCTTCTTTTGCAAGAAGAAATGTGAATTCCTAAAAGCTCTGTACATATTAGATAGGAAGCAGCTGGGACACCACTGTCTTCTCATGCTCCATCGGGATACAGAACGAGATACATCTGGCTGTATGAGAGAAAAAAGAAATCTTCTAGAATTAACGTAGCACACTGTCAATTAGGATCCAAATTTAGATACTGAATGAAGCCTTCTCAAAACACATACCAGTTCACATCCTTCTGTTTCTTAAACTGCTGCCAACAGAACTTCCGAAATTTCAACCTTATTTGAGAAAACTATATAAATTGTATGTAAAATTATATAATTAAATTTTATAATATGGTTAGCAGTAAAATGTAAAACTGCTGTTCATTTTTTGTTTTGCCCAGGATTAAGAAAAAAGAAAAATAGAGAGGAACTTGCTGCAAGGCAGACAATAAATGAAGCTATTTTAATGAAAGCACATGATATTGGAAAAATCTTTGTTTTGTAAATTGTGTTCTATGCAGAAAATGAGCACATCCATCTATCCCTTGCACCAAAAACAGAAAGGAAGGCCTATGAAAATCAGATCATGAAGTCTTATTTTTCATTATTTGGTCTAGTAATTTAATTTCATTTTCCAGATTATTAATGCTGGACTTTATTATATATTTGATGCTGAATTGCTGAATTTGACTTGTCCAAATGGCATCAATCCTGCCTTTATCTCATTGCCAGAAGTAGTGAATATATTGCTTTTTATCTGGATGAAAGGGAAGATTCAATGTTGTTTGAAGAAGAGGGGCTGATCTGTGTGGTGGCAGTAGAACATATTCTGATTGATGTCCTCTAAACTTGAAAACTTGCCAGAGCATCCACCAAGTTCAACCCTAGTTCAGTTATGGTGGAAACCCATTATGGGCACCATTAGCAACTATTGTGCCTATATATTAATAAGTCTAGTGAATGACAATTAGTTCATCCCCTTACTTCTCAGCCCTTCCACATTGAAAGAAGTAAAAAGTGGAACTCACCAATTGCTATTTAAGCACATTTGCTAGTTTTGTAAAGTCTATAGACTTCTAAGAGGAATATATGAAATCTCAAGTAAATATATTAAAACATGCACAAAATAAATATATTTATGATATGTACTTTTTATTGTAGTTACTATCAAATTTTAATCAAGAAATTTGTAATACTAGGGAAATCTCAGGTTTTACTAATGGAATTATGAAAAAATATTA